CCGCCACAGCTTTCCACAATCTAATTCGAGACCAAAAATCGCCCGAAGGCGCGCTTCCCGGTACGCCCCCAGAATCTCTAACGTCGCTTTCGGACCCCGTAAAGCAAGTCTGTGAAGCAGCGTCGCGCACGCCCTGTCTTCCGCTGTCGGACCTTCAGCAACGCTTCAAGCTGTCAGACCTTCCGCAACGCTTCCAGCATGCCCTCGGTTGCCTTCTCTGGCGTGCGCCCCCTTCAACCGGCGGGGTCGGCGGATTATGGGGTGTGGGGAGAAGATGTGGCATTGGTGAGTGGTGTGCATGGTTTTTTTTGTTTATTTTTGGTGAGTTTGTGATGAAAAAGTGTCGGCATCACTTGCATCATAAGTCTGTTAGGGTGGGGCAAAGATACCTGTTTTTGCATGTTGTCCAGGTATACATTGTATACATAATATATGTATATATATTAGAGAGAGAGAGAGAGAGATTGTTGGACGTCCAATTTTCAAATTGGTCGGATACATCGGTCTCGGAGTCTCGCAGCAGGAATGGGCCCCCAGTTCAAGATCCTGGTGCGGGTGCAAAATGCTGGCCCGGTCGGCTCAGACGGAGGTCACCCATCGGCGGGCTCGGCTCGGTCGGAGAGACAACGAGGACTGCTGACGATCGAGCACCCAAAAGCACCAGCGGTGCCAGTGGGGGATCTCTCAATGGTTGTGAATGGTAGCCCACAACAGAGTTTCAACTAGCATCTTGTTTGGAGGTGCAGTTGGCGGTAAGGGGATGAGGTTGTTGGTCCTAGATGGTCCTAGACTCTACCCACAAGGAATCAGTACAGAAGAGTATGGGTGTCATTGGGTGTCGTAGACCTTCGATCCAGCACCAGCTATTTGCAGCCTCGCAGTGTGATCATGTCTTTCCTTGACCAGGGAACCGACAGCTTGCGTTGTGCTTGGAGCAAGCAACACGAGGTTCCACAGACAACGAACATACAGATCTGGCCGTAACAAGTGCATCGCTATCAGTAACAAGTGCATTACTACTAATAATATGAAGCTATATGAAGCTATTAGTAACAAAGTGCTATTAGGTTCAATATCATGAGAGACCAAGCCGTCCAGAAATCCCTAAGGTTCAAGCTCCCTGACGGATGTGCCAGTGCATTGCACCACCAATCCCAATCTCTATCGGATACCAAAGCCCGAAGCTAAGCTCGCGCCTGGAAGCGAAACCGGAAAACGGGGCGAGGGCCGAGCAGTCCAGGTTCGATGCACGAAGGTCGTGCCATGTCGGCCCACATCGTGGTGAAGATTGTCAAAGCTCGAAGAAGAACCCCCGAGCTCCAAAAATGTGAGCCAAGGCCGTGTTTCTACCTGCCTATTCTCGTCCCGCAGCAGGCGTGCTGGTCACGGTATGTGGGTCGTTGCCCTGACAGGCAAATAGAAAGGGGGTGCCTGGGGTGCCTTAGTTTGGTTTGATCAGGACATCCAATCAGAGCCACAAACCAAGCAAGATGTTTGCAGCGTCAATTAAAAGCAAGACATCCACTGTGATCCATGGCAGTTTCGTCGCGGTGTTGCGCCCGCGGGGTTTGGTCCATTCATTTGAACTTGATCGAACAAGAGTTCACCGAACTCCCATGAGCCAGAGTCGTTTAGCAGTTTGGCTGCCTTTGCTGTTCCAATCAAACTGTTTCATGGACCTCCTTGCTTCCGTCACTTTTCCTCCAAACAGCTCGGTTGATGCGGGTGACTTCCGTTTTTGCAGCTTGGCAGGTCTACCTCGTGGAGGTGCCGGTGACCTGCATCAACGAGAACGGCGGCACCGCCTCGGCGCGGGTGACACGGAGTGACATGACCGGGTTAGAACGGGAGGAAAACGTGTTCGTTTCATCACAAAACGGGTGGAAAAACTTGATGAAACTTGTAAATTAGCTGCTAAGTGAAGGATGAGTCATGGTGATTCTTAATTCCTACTGTAGCTGTCGTTTTGTGTCCTCATGCCGGACCTGCGAAGACCCAGCCACGCTTTGGGGGAGAATGATTCTGTGAAATCTTAGCCCCTGAAACCCTCACCGGTTTAGCAAACTTAAATGTATGTATGTTTGAAATACAATTTGGTTCAATGTTCATAAGAAATATATCTACACCTAATTTGGTAGAGCGTCTCAAAGACCGCTCCACTTCCCAGGTCCGAATCTTCTTGGCCAGCAAGAACTCGCATGTGCCGTTGATCTCGGTGGGGAGCCCCGTGGGCATCGGAGTTCCAACTGCTGGGCACTCCAAGATGGCCGACTCCCATTGCCTGGTCCGAATCACCAGAACTGCTTCTAAGCATGCTAAGCCCAGGCTTCCTCCCAGCCCAGCTGTTGAAGGTATATTCTCGTAGATGCCCCAACCAAGGCCTGTGAAGGGCCTCCTGCCAATGCATTGGATCATCCCTTTAGCTTCTCATGGAGCCTTCAACCAGCCCCAAGACGTCGGCCCTGCCTGGGACTCTGAAGACTCCAGCCGTGCCTTCCATCTTCAGCCTGCCAACCGTGGTGCCGAGGCGGTTGTACAAATGCCCATCTCTGAGCCGCCGCTCCTGGATTTCTGAGGCGATCACCCGACCGCTCCGTGGTTAGGACGCGAGTCCTTGGGGATCTTTTCGGGGCGTCGAGTCGTCGTCGCTTCTCACGACGTGGTGACCTGGTGTTTGCCCGTTTCGCTGTGGGGGTGGCGCCAAAAAGATGCGCTTCGGATCGGTTTTCTATCCTTTGGATGGACGCTGGGATCGGTTGTGGATGGTTGTGGACAGTTGTATCAGAATCACAGTGGGAGCCTCAATGGGAAATGCAGATGAAGTCCTGTTGCTTTCGGAGCAGACCGCGGTGGCGTCGACGCTGCCAGGTGGCGCCAACGTACGCCGCTTCGTAGCTTCGAACGCTGCTGGGGCGTTCCAAAGTAGGGCTCCCAATCCAAAGCAAATTGGATAGGTTCGTCCAGACACCTGAGATGTCGATGGCAGAGTCAATCAGTCAATCCTTCACAAGTCAAAGATAAGATAAGATATGATATGATAATTAATATGTTATGGTCATAGCCTGTCAAGGGATGCCAGTATCCCGGCTGATGGTTGCAGAGCCTTGGAGAGAAAGACAAGCAGATTGTAGACTTGTCTCACCTACGAGAGCGCTCTCGAATGTTAATGCTTGCAAGAACAAAACAAGCAGCCAGATGCAGAGTTTTGGGACTCGGAATTTGTCTGCTGGGTGTGTGTGTGTGTGTCTGTGTAGGGGTGTGTGTGTGTGTGTAGGTTTGCACGCTCGTTTTTTGGAAATGTCCCAGTTGTCACATGTCTAACATATTTGGGCTTTTTGTTACAAACACATGCTCACGGGTTTGTTTGTTGTGTTGTGCCAGACCTTAGCTTAGGCTTCAGCTGAACATTCACATGACCTGAACAACAACAATTTAGGGCAAAAGTATGATCGGGATGTGGTTCCCACTGGACGAGCAATTCGTAGGCGGGGCATGCAGAGGGCTTGGCCGACGTGCTTTTTGTTTGGGGGTCCGCCCAGTTTCCACAACCCGGTACTGAAGCGATGTTATCCTTCCGAAATATTCCTAACGTCTAAAGATGATTCTTGATTGAAATGATGCCATGGCCTTGGCTTCTTGCCTCGCAGCGCCTTCCAAAGGCAGACCACACTTGGAGAGGGTGGGTTCTGATCAAAGCTGTTCAGATAAGCTTTGGGTTGCTCCAGGCAACTCCAGGCGGACGTACCTTCAAACATCCAAACAGCTGGAGACCGGGAGATCCTTATACAAACTTTAACCAATGAAGATTCCTGGATTGCTGTAAGTATGATTGATATCCATTGTTCGCACGAGTATATTGCCATTCTTGTTTTTTTGCCAAGCATATCAGTTGGGTAGCTCGCAAAAGTCCCGGTTGCTTTGGGGCGGGCTAGGATGGCCCTCGTGCACATGGCGTACATCCCAGAGGCTTGGTGCACGGAAAAACAGGGTTGTGGGAGATGTTGCGGGTCGCTAAGCCAGCAATGGTCATGTTGGACCAGTCGTAGTGATTCTTGGTAGAGGTCGGGGGGCGGGAACGGTCCAGACGATGGGTCCTGTCTTTGTCGGACCAGTGGTGCCGTCGGCCTGCGCCGCGCCAAGGCGTGCTCCTGGGCCGGTCCAAGCCTGAGGATGAATGGAGAACGGGTGAAAGACTGGGATGACGTGAGGAAGGCAGACAGACCACGCCAACCCTCTCCGCAACATCTGACTTGAAACACTAATTCGGGGAAACCGTAAGGGCATATGTTGATGTGTATGTATATATATATATATTTAAACCGATGTTGAGCCCATGCAATGCACTGACTTCAGCTAAGCACTCCCAAGGCTCATTCCACCCTGCCTTGCGTGGTTGCCTGTGGTTCTGCCATTGCAGCTGTGTGGCAGAGGAGTAAACAACAGATCACTTTGCACTTTGTCCACCTTTTGAATGCAAAGTTTGGTCGTCCAGTCGCGTTTCTTTGTTCTTTTTCGTGATTGTTTGTGAATGCATGCACGCCGATGTTCATGCGTTTCTGTCAGTTGAGTGTTTTTCATTGCGATTAGTTCGACCAAATCAGAACATTGACTGGTGCGATTGGATCTTGGCATGCTTTAACGTAACTGACCCACAGGACAGTATTTGTTTCTCGCATGTGTTCGCCTTCTAGATCCTTCTAGCCTTCGGGTCTATCCGGGTCTATCAGTCCTGGTTCAGCATTGGGAGAGGAGGAGGTTTCTGAGGTTCCTTTCTGTTGTTTGCAGCGTTACAGTTTGACCAGCTCACATGTTTCAAGTTCATGTATGTCGGGTATTGTCAGCCCAAGACGGGTCAAGAGTCTCAAGACTCATGACCTCGCCGGATCACATGCAATCATGTATATACTGTATATATCTGTGTTGGCATCTAGATCGAAAGAAAAGAGAACAGGATCAAAAAAAGAGAACATGATCAAAAATAGTAAACCTGAGTAGGCCCCCTGGTCCTCCCCTGGTCCTTTGGCCCTTTGGTCTAGTCATTTGGTCCCCCGGTCCCTTTCCTGGTCCTTGTCCTGGTCCGCTGGCCTCGGGTTGCGTTGGTCCTTGCGTCACTTTTTGAGTGCCCTTCATTGATGAGGCAATCGGGTGTGTAGTTTTCGATGGTGATCCATTTTGTGGTACCTTTTGAGTTCTAATGCCTTTTGATGGTTGGTTCGCTCTGGGGGGGGAGGTATGGGGAGGTGCTGCACCCTGGCCCCAATCCTCCTCCAGCGCCACGAAACCTGCACTAGTTTTGCCAATCGCTGGGCCTACCACGACAGATTATCTAAAGGTCACCCAGGCACCCATCGCTCACACAAAATATTGCACGCACTCGCCTAAGTCTTTTTGATTTTGTGTTGCAAGCGGCTGCAAGCATCCTGTCAATGTCCTGGCGCGTGTAGTTTTCGATGCGTCTCTACCCCCCTGCTTCACATAGCTTGTTTTGATTTTGTTGGTCCTATCCCCCTCCTGTTCACCTGCGAGTGCCCAAGACATGTAGATGTGCGTGGGTCGGTGGGGTTCTTGTCCCTATGACAGGCCCTATGACAATCATGGTCTTCCTGTCCCCCGCACCTTTCAGACATATTCTGGAACCGGTGTTTCCAGAAGCACCGAGAGAACAACAACTGCTTTGAGATAGTGTTTTTCCTGCTGGAACAGTTTATAGGCACCTGCCCCTCTCCAGCTGCATACAATAGAACAATAATGAAAATGTGCTAAGATATGTATATTTTCCTGTTTGAATTAGACACGGTGATGTCATGACCCAAGTGCATCAAGTTTGCAAATGTTCGAGTCTTTTGGGTTGATCGAGCGATCTCTTCCTCGGGCATGGATCAGGACGCATCAGAAGCACCAAAGATTCTTCTCGGCGCGCGTGATGTCCCAAGATGGGTGTGGGCCGGAGACCAGTGTGCCCAATTAGGTCTCCTTGAGACACATGCGTTGCACAAGGAAGGAACTGGTTTTCAATGAAAAACACAACCTTTCTTCTGGATTAACTAATCGTGGTTCAAGCACTGGACCATTGTTTGCACGGACCACCTGCAGCAAGATCTAAAATGATTGTTCATCAATTTCATCTACACACGGATGTCAAGCAACTGATGTGATTGGTCTCAACAACGTTGTCCTGCAACTGGTTGCTGTGCATCATGGGGTGTATTGTGAAACCATTTGCTCACACTCCCATTAAAGAAACTGCCTGACCTGGGCTTTGCTGCGCTGCCAGGCATCCGAACCACGCGCTGGGCATTTGGTTCTTCAAAAGGATGGGGATCAGAACGGGACACCGGAGACCAGGACCTTTTTTTATCTTTTTTTCGGTGCTTCCAGAAGGCGAGAGACGAAGAAATGGCCCGTCGGCGGGTGGAAAGATGTGAGAAGGGTGACTTGGGAGGGGATCTTGGGGGGGCCTTTGCCAGGTCACTCTCAATTCCGAGAGCCCTTAGACCTTGGACGATGTGCCATGTGGCCAGGGGACATGGCGAAACGTGCCCCAGGATGCTTGCCTGCGGAGTTTTGGGACTTCCTTGTTTTACCTTCGTTTTTTTTCATGTCAAAGGAACATGTCCTCTCCATTTTGGCTGATACGTGACCTTTGGAGTGAAACTGAGAAGGGACGTTCCTTTATGCTCGCCTCAAGACATCTCAAAAGCCCTTCAAGCTCACGTCGGAAGTCGGGACAAGGGGCACGAGGAAACCGCTTTCACGCCACCGGGTTCCGCGTCTTCGTTCTGTGAAGGACTGTGAGGTGACCAAGAGTCGTTTCTGCCGGGATCCTCAAAGGGTCTCCAAAAGTCTCCACCTGCAACCTGTGGTCGCAGCTGTTTACGACGTTTTGGATCAATTGTATTCATTCACATTGACATCGACCGCTTTTCACACGAGCTCCACCTGCCTCACTCGGGCAGGTCGCGGCTGGTCCATTTCGCAGCTTCGGGAGGCGAGGTTTGCGGCACGGTGTGCCTGGTGTGCCCGGGTGGGAAGCCGTGAGTTGCAAGCGGTGTGCCCAGGTCTCTGGGTAGAAGGAGGCACTTAAGACTTAAGGCATGTCTCAAAATGTCCCAAAAGATGTTTGCAAGATTTTGCCAGACGTATGAGGACGTATGTTTTTTTTTTCCGCAGGAAAGAATTGGAAAGAAGCGTGCCCAGCCAGAGTAGATGAGATGGCCAACAGATGATGGTCTAAAAAAAACAGAACCTAGGAGAAATGTAAGCAGTGGTCCCATTTTAGCAAACCATGGCTGATTCGTTGTATAACGATAAAGATAAAATAAAAAAAGATAAGGCTACAAGTGGTTATACAAAATGTATAGGGCTTTTTATATATCAGATGTCAAGATTAAGTACGTACTTTCAAGTACGGCAGGTGTGTATGATGTGGACTTTCTTTGCCTGGAGAACACACCCGCTGCACGGGGATGCAATGTCCCCAGTACAGAGCAAGGCTAGAATGATTAATGAGTCCCCAAGTGAGTGGATAATATTGGGTCATGGGCACTCCCTAAGCTCTCCTTTGGAATGAACTGCTGGATAATCTGCTTTGCTTCACCACTCTAAGCACTTGATCGAATAAAAGAACCTGCTTGTACATTCCAACATCAGCCACAAGTGATCAATCAACATACTTTTCTTTGATTTGCTTGCAATGCTTTGCTTCCACTGTTTCGGCTTGAACACATTTTACACACCCACACACACTGAAACCTTCTCGTTCCTGGTGTTTGGTGCATGTCAGGGATATAGATACTGCGCGGACGACATCCTTTGTGCTTACTTGGCCTGGCAAGCAGACCCAAAGGCGCAGCGCTTGCTCGGGCACTTAGGTCTGAGCGCTTGCGAAGGTGGGAACTTGAAAGAGGGTTGTGCACAAACTCTGACAAGCCAGACTCGGACAACTCCAATATATCTCCGAAGTCCCCCCCCAAGTCGCTTTTTGCGCATGACAGAGATGATTGGAGAGATTTGCTGCACAAGCTGCAAGGTCACCGAAGGGTTGGGGTAGAAAAAAAGCATTTCCGAGTTTGTAGCTTCTTCTGATAGGTGTTAACTATCCTTTCTTCATTTCTTTAGGTCCACCAAAACACCTCAGACCTCACAATCATAGGACCTCTTCTTCCCTCTACATGTCTAGATTTGTAGGCACCTGTGGAGTGTGAGAGTTGCAGGGTTTTGAAGTGCAAAGGTAACATAAGGTAACAATGGGGAAAACATGGGTCTCGCAGTAGGGTATGGTGTTCTGACATAGCAGCCCACCATCGGGGTTGGAAGTTCCTTTGTTAGTGAGAGGGAGAGTAATTCATCCCCTCCCCCCCAACCAACATGGACGTGGACAACACCCTGCTTGTCTTCCCACCAACCGGCGGCCATGCCATCCACTTCCATGATTGTTGGAGGGAGGGCAATTCAGTCCATTACTGAGGTTAGATTTGGGCTCGGGCATTGGCAGTATCGGCCAGGGATGCCCAGAGAATCGCCAAGTCTTCGGAGATCCAGCCTGCGCAGCCTGTGTGAAAAAATATAGGTAAACAAAACGCGGGTCAAACAGAACGGGAGCCAAACCCGAATGGAAGAGTCATAATATGAAAGGGTTGAAGTGATTTGGTTTCAGCCACCTCGTAGTTCTTTCCATTTCCAAGCAAGGGTGTATCAAGAATTCATGTGGAGACTCACAAGAGCTGAGTATGTGCAGTAGGTATGTTTTCAAGATTTGGATGTTTTCTGGGGTCAGTGAAGTCCTTCAAGTTCTGTTTGGAGACGGCTGATTAGATGTGGTGATGCCAGAGAAAGCGTTCGGACGCGGTTGAACACCTAAAAAGATCCAAAACTTCAAAATGACTTTAAGATAACGTATTAAGCATTTTTGTAAGCCTAACTATATGATTCCTTCCGATATATAATTGAAGCACAAAAACGCCATCCGTGAGAGGAAAAAGACTCGTCCCTGTTCCAACCCAACGGCCAGCCGGCCGGCCCTCCTAGGCCTGGCCTGGCTTGCACAACAGCCTCGAGGGGCCAAGTGCACCATGCTGGAGGCCCTCAGTTTACCCGTAGAGTAGAGTGGCCGTAAGCCCAAATGGCTGAGAGGTGGCCATGAGCCCGCAGGGTGGCATGAGAGGGGGGAGTTACAGCATAGTTCATGGTCACCACTTTTTTTTGGTATAATTTTAGTGAGCAACCTAGCATGCAAATGAGGGTGCCAGGGTCATTACAAGAAGAAAAAGCCAGGGCAATGTCACAACACTTTAGCTTCGGAATGGAACCTCAGTCTCCATGTTTGGCCCATTGGTTGAGTGACCACGTTCCATCGAAAACGACGATGGCATCTCCATGGGCGGAACCAGCAACTGTGTTTGAGTTCGATCCCCAGATATCCTTCTTAAAAGTGGATTGCAGTTAACCATGCAGAGCCTTGGCGACATTCTGCGACGTCTGGCGACGTCTGCGGTTTCCTGAGCCAGACCTTGATATCGCGATCGACGTGGAAAGGGATTGGGGGAAAGAACAGACCAAATAGGAAGAAACATGAATTGTTGATGATTTTTGCTGGTACGCCGGTACGCATCCCAGAGAAATACAAAGAAATCCTCTTGGGGAAGGATGTTTTCTATCACCCCAATGATGTGTGTGATTTCTACAGGGCCTCCCACGCAGGCCCAGGAGGTGAGCGTTCAGCTCTGCCGGCAGACGCTGGAGGCCTTGCAGGCAGGTTAGGGTGTGAGCAGCCTGGCGGCAGAACACGGGGAATGGGAAATGTCGGTTGGAAAGTTTGGGATGGTTTGGGTGTGGTGCCCTTTCAGCAATTCCTCTAAGTTTCAGCCTTGCGACCACACACCTTCGGAACCGAAAGCCATTGAGAAACAGCCGGTGCTGAAAGAGGCATGCTGGCATAACGATCTCCAATCTCTGGTTTTTTGTTCGTTTCTTCATGTTTCTCCTATGGATTCCTGTAAGTTGGCTTCGGATGTTTGGTTCCTAAGTTTGACCAAGTCGGTCAATGTGGAACAACCAACAGGGCCGAAGCTAATGCTGTTTGCCGTGTTTGAATCTCGGATAAAACGCAGGAGTGCGTCATCCGTGGTGTGCGACAACATGGTTGGTGGGTTGAAAGACGGTGTTTGTATGTTCCTTATCGTTTTCCATACCATTTTTTCAGCTGCTGTTGTTGGATGTTTTGCTGAGAGATACTATGTTATTTGAGCATCAGAATCTGCACAGCAGCTGCGCATCAGAGATCAGACCAATCCTGCAGGTCAAAGCCGTGGATTTGAGGCCAGCGTTTCGGTGATGCTGGCGACCATCAGTTTGGTGTTCGGGACGGTGAAATGGTCTTGTGAAAGTGGATCCTTTGTGTCCAGCACACGACTCCTACAATTCCAGTTTTACCTTCACATGGTAAAAGGTATGCCAGGTGTGCCAAACCCATGAATGATGATGTTGCAGAAGGTGTTTGGTGCTCCTCCCATTCGCCGGAGCCTCCCATTCACTGAGGCATGGTGATCTGCGGGACCCATCCACACTGCAGGCGGTGGGTTCCCAGGTTTATCCTCAGAGACATCCTGACATGTTCTCATGACATCCTACGGTTCCCGACTGGGTAGACCTCGGTCTACAAGAATGGGGATTACCAGTTTGTGCTTCCCCCACAATTGAAGGAAAACGCGAATGATGCGGGGAACCAGTGTAGGAGGGTTAACTAGGTGCTGCTTGGGTTGGGTCTGGAGTGAAGGGCGTAGATGAAGTGGTTTGTTGTTTGTAGATCAGAGGCTACACAGCAAAGCCTGGTTCGAGGAAATACCAAAACAGCGCAATGCCCAAGATCAGTGATTAAAATGCCATAGACTTGAAGCCGGGAGCCGCGCAGCTCAGTGTGATAGAGGTGTTCTCAAGATTTCTCAAGTTTGTTTTACAATGCCAAGTATTTGGGCTTCAAACTTGACCACACCTTGTACTATCAGCCTGCGCTACACAGAATGTTGGTGGCTAGCGGGGCACGCAGGTTCCCAACCTGCCAAGGGTCCCACTGTGCACAGCGAGTGCAGCAAGCCAACAGTGAAGACTCTGAGGTCCAAACACAAAACATTGAGGTAGTCAACTTGCAAGAACTGAATATAACTGAACATTGCTCAAATAGATGATTCTGCTTGGCTTAGATGATGGGGCCTATATCTGCCGATGCTTTTTTCCGGGGAAGAAGTGGAGATAGCCAGCTCGCGCGGTCGGTTTCGTGAGACCTTGGGCACCAACTTCGACCTGGTCACGGCGAATCCTCCGTGGCTTGGCAGCCGGGGAGTGGGGAGCAGTCGATTGATCTGCATCACATGCCATTCAGTTTGGTGGACCTGGAGTGTGTGTGTGTGTGTGTTTGTGTGTTGGGCCAACCTTTGTTGAATGCTCAATGCAGTTGGGCAATCTATGGTTGGACCAATATGTTGTATACTTCAATGATATATAGCATCGATGATCAATGATGATGATCAATGTATAATTGTGTGGTGAATGGCACTGAACCAACACATGAAAGTTCAACCAGCGGTCCGCTGCCTGCTCCCCTGTTTGTTGGTGGCGAGAGGGTCCCGAAATTTGCTCGTGTGATGTTACCCTAAAATCATTGTGATCCGTGAGTTGAGTTTGCAATTCGATTCCACCCCAACGCCTTTGTCGATGTGAGTTTCTTAACCAGCTGCCAATGGATTGGGGTTTGTTGTGTTTCAACTGAGAGGCAACCATGATGGGTTCTTCGAGTATATGATGTCAACTTCTCAGGAATCACACTTTGCCAATGGACCAGTTCAGGTGTAGGGACGGTAGGATGGTGAACCAGAGAAAGGTGAACTGGTCACTACAGGTTTTAGGTTTTAGGGTGAACCAAGTAGGAACAAGAAGCTACGAAGGAGGCTCCTGGCATTACACTACGAACGGGGCTTCTGGCATCGCTACGAAAGGAGCGATCGGACGCTACTAGTAGCTAGGTATTTGCTTAATTTGTTTGGGTTCTCGCGGAGCACGGTGAAACTCTTCGGACTCCCTGAGTCCAGGCGAAAAGGTGCCTGGACGGTCCGCCGGGACGTGGGACGGGACCCGTGGGACGGCCCGAGCATGGCCTCGGGAGACCCTGCCCCAAGCCTTGAGGTACTTCACAAGCACCTCCGGCAACTTGCCAAAGAATTCTCAAAAGGTGCAACCCTCAGGGACAAGCCTTTCGTGCATGCGGAATGATGCAGAGTTGTGGTTCTGGTTTTCTTGCGACTGTCAGTGTCTTGGAGGAACAAGGTTGGAAGGTTGAAAGGCTGATTCAACCTCTTGGTTCATGTTGGTCCAGTCTACCCGTCTACCTTCCTTCAGATTAAAGCAGGGGTCGCCCAAGCTTTGAAAAATACTCAGGTGTTGGAACTGGATATTATCCCATCGGCACCGTTTCATCACCGGATTTTTCACACGAGATGAGGCCTACTGCCGACACGAGCTCCGTGGTGGAGTCTCCGAGTACGCCCGTCTGCGGTATCGGGGTGGAAAAATGCAAAAGAACACACGACAAACAAATTCAATGTGCAGGCCATGCCCGATGTTCATGTTGGGCGGCCATGTAAAGCAACGTTTCAGGATGTTTCAGGTATATACAATATGACTAGCAGTTGGAGTCAGAACATGCCGAGCTGACCCTGACCACCAGGTTCTGCTCTGTCCTTGCCTGAGGCATGTTTGTGAATGTCGTTTGCTTCTTCCAAGCAGCAGAACAGCTTTATGATGTTTTATGTCTATCTACTTTCTAAACAGAGGAGGAGAGGCTTACAGAACAGACCAGACCAGAACAGTGTGAAAGTCCTTGAAAGACTCATAATTCCGAATGCTCTGAGATATGGATGGATTGCACAACGTTTGACAGCACAGAAGTAACCCCGCATATCTAAAGCTACTTGGAGATGTGCGTGACACCATGACACTAGCTTGAGGCAGCAGCCCAGTTACTTTCGCCCAACGGAAGCTTTTGTATGGTCAAGGACTCAGCTGCTACGTTTGTTTCACCACCACTCCAGATGGGTTTCTTGGGGTGGAGAGAAAGATGGCACATGATAGCAGCATAGCTAAGTCTCTCCAGCCACGGCCAGCAGATCTTCCGGGATTTGAGATACACGCCACGACTGGTAAACGTCCAGGTTCACGCCTCCCCACGACTGACCGATGTGCTGACAGCCTTGGAGAGGCCGTAGCGAAGCGTGGAAGAACTCGCTGGATTGATCCTTCGGAAGTAGTAGCTTCTTGTTCCTAGTAGTAAGGCATCCTTGCTCCTAGTAGCGATGCCAGGAGCACCGGAACTCGTAGCTTCTGTTTGATTGACAGGTGTTTTAGGCCGGTTGTAAAGCCTGTGGCTGCAACTGAGGAAAGCTCCACATGCGTGCTAGACAACTCACATCTTGACCTTGCAGGTATCACTTCACCATCCAGCGCAGGGTGGACATTTTCTTCCGGGGAAACTACAAAAGCGTCGCGGTGGTTTGCTCACCCAAAAGCGCGTCAAACGGCCAACAAGAGGCAGCCAGAGCCTCGGGTCGGGGAGGGGGTGTTGGTTAGTAGCTTCCAATCTCTATTCCCGGTTGCAAGGAAGCTTCTGTTGAATCTTTGCAAGGATGCGGACAGATGCAGAAAGTCGATGAGTCCATGTTCTTCTCGTTTGATCTCGTTTTACCAGTTGCCACTCCGGCACTCATGCCGCGCCGTTCGATACCTTGGCCTTTGTTCTGGTGAGGCTGCAGAACGGCTGCAGGTCATCGAAGAGGATGGAAGCTGGTGGCTTGCTTCAATGGATCTATTACAAGGGCATTACTACTAGTAACAAGAAGCTACGAGCAACAAGTGCATCGCTACTAGTGACAAGGGCATTACTAGTAGTAGCAAGAAGCTACTATTCAATAGATTCCACCCAAAGTGGGCACCAAGTTTACGGGTACAAGAAAATGTCTACTTGATTGCTGGAAAGATGGCCAAACCAAAGTCATTTCATGTCATGTCCATGTTCGGCATGCCTTGGTTTTCCAGAAGGAAGTCAGGGATAGCTACACAACTACCTTCCGTGTGAAATGAGCAATTCGAGGCATTCAATTGTCCCAATAAACATAATAAACCCAGTGTAAACGAGCTCCAGACCGTGATTCTGTCCTGTTCATGTTCACTTGGTCTGAGTTTTGGCCGTATTTGCAAGTAAGTCAAGTAAGTCATAGGGAGGCCGTGTATCATTCTCATTGGGAGGCACGGTTGAGCACCGGGTGGACTGATGTGTTGCACCGGGTGTGCTGCCCGATAGCTTGGGGATATACTTCCAGTATGTGAATGTGGGATGTGGAAACGCCATGAAACGCCAAGGGCCCGTGGTGTTTCAGCAACACCCATGCGGCAGTATTCCACAATCCGAGGTCTCCTGGCTATTTGGAGATTTGTGAGCTGATGGGCCTTTGACGTCATAGCACCAGATCATGCATCAGATGCAGCACCAACGGCCACGCCCACCGCACCGGAGCTCTACATCAATAGCCGAATAGCTCTTTGCCAAAGCCGCAAAGCAACCGAACGGAAAGAGCTGCGCACCACTTCGTCAGCTTGCAGACCAAAGATTCTACGTCTTGTACCGAGTCATACCAGTTGGAAGACAAGAAACTCAAGTCAAACTCGTCGCATTCTTTCGCAGCTAGATCTTGAGCCTGTGATAGAGCTATTGGAAGCGCAAGAACAGTGAGAACAGTGAACAAGGAAAATTGAGAAGTTCAGACGATATGGCCGACCTGCAAATTAGTTGACAGATGACCAATGATTCCAATGATATCCAATGATTACCAATGTTCCATGGCATACGACATGGCCTGGTTGATCTCCCAAAGGCGCGGGATCATAGTGACCACATTATGAAAAAGAAGCGTCCGGGATCCCCTCAGATTCGCAAAGAATACTGTCTCAGCTGTATTTGCACATGCCATGGCAGAGACAGCGGATGATTGGAGCGCCTCGTGCTGAAGGGTCGTTTGAAAAGCAAACTTGGAAAAGCTCCTGGTCCTAGTAATGTCCTTGCTCCTAGTAGTAAGGCCAGGAGCCCCTAGTAGCGTTCTTGTTCCTAGTAGCGATGCATCGGTGAACCACTTTCTGAACGAATGCTCATTCAGTTGAGCAGTCAATCTGAGTGTGTGTGTGTGTGTGTTTAAAGTAGGGTTGCACTGATGAAACGACCGCCGCCACGGGTTTGCTTGGTCGGATGTCTTGTCGCCTTTTTTTGAGTGAGACATAAATGCAGCAGTATTGGGAGAAGAACTGTACTGTACCGTGAATTGAGTAGATTGCTTTGCAAACACGCTGTTCAAGAGCACTATGTTCCCAGCAGACCACGGACAGATGACCATGTTCAAAGAGCCCACAGACCGGTAGCATGGTCCTGACAGAACGCCACTTGCGAGTTTTTCACTCACGTTTTTGCTCCCAAAGTTTCATAGCTGAATAAGGCAGGCGCCTTCTTCATCCATTCAGTCTTTGCGGTGAAACTATGCATTTGGACCTGTCAGGCTTAGCACTAGACCTGGAAGCCCCACCCATCTACTACAACAAGGCGGCGGTTGCGATGGTGTTTGAACAGCTCCTGCTACAGTATCACACATTGTGGCCCTTTGTGACTAGTTTAGGACTGGGGGCAATGTTTCGGTCTTAGTCCCTACCTTTCGTTGTCAAGGGCCAACTTGCCGGCACATGTGCTGCATCTGTTAAAGCATGAAAAGGTATTGAGCAAGACGTGTTTCCCGTGTCACGAAGTTGCTGCCATTCAGACTTCTTCTGCGAAAGTGCTCCCATGATGAAGGCAGACTATATCCAGACAGCCTCTGGAAACAAGGCCATGCTGTAAACATTTTGGGAGTTTTGTGTGTGTGTGTAGCTCAACTGCTTGTACCAGGAGCTCGCTCACTCAAGGAATAGGGTCTTCAAAGTGGTCTTCAAATTAGGCTTGCTTCAGCTGCTAGGTTTGCAGAAATTGCCCAGATCTACCCAACTCATCCACCAATCTGCAAAGCAGCAAGACTTGCTTTCCCCGCAATCCTTACATTGCCGACATGTAGACAAAGACAGAACCATTTGCCATGCCGAAATCACCCAAGGTGAGCAGAAATTCTGTTCTTTGCGGTTCGCAGAACATCACATTGGTTGGCAACTCTGTCATCAAGTGTGGTGCTCAGGATATTATGTAGCCCTTTCCTCTCTCATTCAAGGCTTTGCTGCGTGACCCCCATAGCTGTTAAGTCTGTTAAGCCAAAGCTGTTATTTGGTTGTTGGAAATTGTGCGGGATGTCGCATGTGAAGTCACTGCAGATGCTCAACTGACTCCAGTGTCCGTTCACGATGGTTCAATTTCATTCAGTTTCTTTGGGTGGGTTGTTCGGGCACCCAATGGGCCAAGACACTCATCGTTGGGTCCTGTAATTATTACCTACATGATCAGATGATACGAATAGTGAGGATACGACGTTGATAATGGGAACGGAACCGCTTCCCAAAGTTGTTGCATGCTTGGAAAGCCATTTCCGCTGTACGAATGGCTATCTTCTCGGCCCAGCTGGATGGCAGTGCAGAAGAAGTATTTGTTCAATCAAGCCAGATACCCCAACCAACCGGTCAGCGTTGCCCCGAGGTTGTGAACGGCATGGAAGGGAAGATAAGATACTATAAGATAATGAACTCAACAAGAAGGGAAATGTTCCTGTTTCTTGGAGTAAGCCAGTAAGCCTTTTGGGTTGGAGTACAAACAGACTCTTTGGGGTCGGGAATGCTGGTTGTTATGATAAATATACTGTATATAATGTATATATATATCATAATATGATAAACTGATTGACTCTCAAAGATCTTAAAGGTTCAAATTGCAGGTGTGGTCACTCAAATGTTTGGAATCCTCGCCTTGAATGTTGAAGGCGACTAAGAAATGTGTTCCATGGGCAACTGGCGAAGTACCCAGACCACTTCTTTGCAATGCCATGTGTGGCAGCTGTTGGGGCTACAGAAACCATCCAATGTGTGTCAGCTCCTAAAAGTTTGGTTTGCTCCTCCGACACAGGTTTGTCTCATCTTTGCTTTATGAGGCCTGGTACGGTCCTCCGTGGGGATCTCCAACTGCTGAAGATCGGCCAGCCTGGCGCCATTGAGCTGTCTTTGAGGGAGCTGTCTTTGGGTCTGCGGTGTTTCGCAGTCGGTTCATGTAGATTGTAGAGTTTCCAACAGCAACAGGCCTGGCGTGAGTGAGCCTGAGCCTTTCTGGATGTGTTTTAATTTGGTAGATTGCGGAGTGTGGCTCTCTAGTTCAAGAACTGACCTTTGCGGTTATGCCGGCGTGGCAGATGCGCAAACTGCATGTGGGTCATGCAACAGTTTTCTCGTCCAAGCTAGGCAAACATGTGATCGTCGGTGAGAACTGCGTCCTGAGACCGTCGCACAAGAAGTACAAGGCAAGGAGCCCGGACGACGATTTTCCTGGAAGCCGGAGCGTGTGTTTGTCAGCAAAGATTGCTCCTTACATCTCCTGACGTTGGGACCAATGGGACGCAACGGTTCAGGTCAGGTCTGACAGAAACGACTCTACTCGATCGGCTCCAGGGCAGCATCGCCTTCTTCCCGATGACCATCGGCGACCACGTGACGGTGGGCGCGGGCAGCGTGGTTTGCGCAGCCTCCATTGGCTGTTTGTCGGCACAGGGTGATGGCGGTGAACGCTGAAGGCATGTGACTGGTTGTGTCACCTATGTACGGGTGGAGAAAGGCAGGGTGCTGCCCAAAGTGTGTACCCAGAGATGTCCGGTCATAATATATAATATATATATATATATACCGCGTTTATCACTTAGGATGTCCAACCCAATGCAGGGGACCGTCGGACTGTTTCTGTTAAGGGAGATTGGGATGTCCTGGACTGGAGCGGCAAAAGAAATAAGAGACTGGAGAATCTAAGACAGGGGTGCGAGGACCGGAACATTTCAAGAACTTACTTGCTGGGTAGCAGCTTTTTTTGGATATGGTGGGTAGCTGAGAGTTGAATAAGAAGTCGCAGCCTGCCTTTGTTGCTACTGAAGTGCGTAGTCTTGCTCTGTCCTTGTACATCGCGGTAAGTTGCCATTTGCAAATCCTTGCTAGTCGCCATTGTCCAGCTCAGGCTCCTGTGTCAATATTGGCGAGAACTGCATCATTTCCAAACGCTGTATCCTCAAGGACTGCTAAGTCGTTGGACCTTCAGTGCCGTGTTGCAGCTTCAGAACGGGTTCCCTGAAAAAATGCTTGGAGGAAGGGTTGCAGATGTGATGCTGAAGATATTACGGGTTCCAAGTGACGGAGACACCTCTCTGTTCTAACCTTTGGCATCCTTGAGAGGACAACTCCTTGGTGCTTCCTGACACTGCGGGATCCCTAAAGCATCCGAACCAGCAGCCAACCTATTTAGGGCACGGGCAATATATTGTAAGACACAAATATGTTGACTGGCTTGTGAATCCTTGAAATCGTGTTTTGGGAGACGTCCTAGAAAGGGGCCAGGAGGAGTATCTTCTAGTTCACAGTCCATTTTGTCGTGTGAGAGAGAGAGAGGGTCCATTTAGTCCATTTAGTCTTCTAGTTCACAGTCTCTCCTGTGAGACAGAGAGAGAGAAAAAAGAAAAAATGGGGGATGAGGCTGTTATCGTCGCGCGGTCATCGATGCGAAGCTGAGATTCTACCTCCAGACACCATCATGCCGCCGCTCACGGTCTTCGGCGGAAATCCTGGTGTGTGCCCGGAGCGGAGATCCTGAAACGCGCGTCCGTGGCAGGGTCCTCTGCTGTTGGTGATGGGTAAACACCAACAAACGTGGTAAACCACGTGTGGAACTTGACATCCTCCATTTGCCAGTCGGTTCTTCTCAAAACCCAACAGTAATGTAGACTCTTGATGACTAAACCCCCCATTTGAAATGGAACATCCAGGACTGTGGGGGTTGTTAATCAAGAGTCTCAATCCAATCCATGTTTTGCCAGGTACTTGGGAGATTTACCCGAGTCACAGCTCTTCGTCCAGAAGCAGCGGCTCGGATTCGTTTGGATTCGTGCGCATGAAAGCATGGCAACTGGTAACGCAAAGACAAGTTGCAGTTGGCAGTTTTCACTTACAACGAAACAGTTTCTCGTTCAAGACAGGTACTGTACAACGATGAATGCAATGAATGCAAAAGATGTAAAATACCTATATAAATACCTAGTCTGTTGATGTTTGTTGATGTTACTTGGAATGTGGAAGACGCAGGCAATGGTGATGCTTTGTGTGTCTCTCTCTCTCTCTCTCGCCAAGGCATGCCATCACGGAATACAAACGGTCCTTGCCTCAAGCAAGCGCGAAGATGAACCGGCAAGAAGCTGCAACCCGTTTGGTGAGGGGTGTTGAGGCGCCAATGTGCCCCCCTCATTTTCAGACATACCATGCATTGCCCTATTTGGAAAGTCAAGACAAGTTCAAAGACACAAAAGAAACCGTTCGTATGACTTTCATCTGATATTGCATGGTTCATGCCATCAGTTTTGGCCAAGCAATGCACTGGGTGTCCTCG